CGGATTAAATATAGAATTCAATAGAAAAATCTCTTGTTCTCACATCATTATTGACAATGAACCATTGAGATATTTTTCTCATATAATTTATTTATTCAAATACAGATTTATACAATAAACATTTTGTATTGTGACCGAATATATTCTTGAATAGTTCGATGTTTATGATCATAAATGATTGTTTATTGTGCATATTAGTATAACAACATTCTGTGAAGATTGTCGAACACTTAACAATTTTTAATCAACAAAAACTATTATTTTATCACGTATATGTATACACGACATTATTTTTTTTCAAACAATGAGTATAAGTATGTTAACGTGCAAACTGAGATTCCATTCAGTCTCAGGATTGATGTAAGTGAATCTCGGAATGAGAGAAAAATTTATGTGTTAAGATCTAAATTAGTCTATAGATTGATATAGTATTCAGATTCTTTTTGATGAATTGAAAGAGAGAGAGAGAGAACAATGGCATGTCAATTAATAGAAACATTAATCAATGAATTAAGATTCAAGTGGTTATGAATTGTTTTTCATTGAAGTAGTTCTTATGTGTAAAAACATCCGTAACTTCACATATTCAAAGTAAATTGATCAATTGATAATGATATTTATTGAAATACTATTAATTCGTTTCAAATTATCATCAACAACAGCCTGAATATGATATCGATCTAAAGACTTACTCGAGTTTTCATATAAATTTTCCTTTCAATCTAATATTGAACGTTGCGGTTCAGTTTGAATGCTAATATCTATATGAATAACAAGGGCACAGAAATGAAAGTAACTCACTAAATAGATAATGGAAAAAAAATCTTTCTATAGAATTTAAGAGAGAAAAGAAGAGAAGAACAAATTCATCTGAACATATTAGAAAACAGAACACATGCGTATCCACATCAGACAGCAGAACAAATGACTATATAAATAGAACACACATACATGATGGTATGGCAACACTTAGAAAAAGAAATAGACGATGATGACATCATCTAAGAATTCTTTCATTAATAAATTAATTAAATCATTTTTAATATCTATTAAGAAAAATAAACATTTCATAACTTGATCTTATCAATGTTTGATAACATTCTGTAACGTTCTGATATGATACAAAATATATGTAAACAGTGTATGCATGTCTGTTATTATATATGAATATTAATGTATAGAAATTTATTTTGATAAAAGATAAGAGAATATTTTGATTGTTATCAAATTAATTGATATTATGATAAATCAATTTATGAAATAGTATGAAAATGTATCTAATTTAATATTGTGATAAACTTTAAAAAATCGAATGTAGTTATTTGTTGTGGATGACTTTGAAACTAATTAAATATTATATACACTGTCTATCAACTGTTATCTATCGATCTACATCAGATTAATCAATAGACTATGTGTGTGTGTGACACGTTAAGTTCAAATCACATATTCGCTTTAAATCTTTTATTTATTCAAATTCAATAAAATCCACATCGGAAAAAATGCGTTTATTGGTTTATAAATGATGTGTATCTACAATATTGATTTTTAACGATGCAAATAACGATAAAAGCAGATCAATTTACAAATATTCTATCCAATGCTATGAAACATCATGAAGATTGTAAAAAGTAATATGAATTGCTAAAGAAAAGAATCATCAGTAGATTATTGAACAAAATGAATATCATTTCAATGACTTTCGCAATTATTCATAACCTTTAATATTGCTTTCAACATCATCAAGTAAATGAAATTTAAATTGATCATATCTATAAAGAAAGAACGAATAGATGAACATGAAAGCAATATTGTTATAACCTGAAGGTATCTCTATACTAGTCTTTGTACAATTTACTATAGTGCCGCCAATAATAATAATAATAATAATAATAATACTTGAAAGTAATTTAAAAAATGCTATGTACTTTGATTGCTTGTTTTTTGAACACAATAATCGGATGAAACCATGAAACACAAGCAAAAAAACGGAAGAAGTTTGTACAATTTTCACACAAATATCTTTAGACAAATATGAGCTATACAATAAAGATTATATTTATAGAAAGCGATGAGAAACATTTCGAACCCTAAGGCTATGAAAAGAATACTCATAAATCATCGTATATAAATATCTTGCACATTTTCTAAGTATAATAACTATAATGACGATCACCTTGATTATAGCTTGAGTAATATCCACATCAACCATGAATATATGGGACTGATTGCACTAGGTAATGTATGCATATATGAAATCAGAGTAAAAGAGGCTTAAGATAGAACATCTCTTTTGAATATACAATTGAACTTTGTAAGCATAAAAGTAAATTGTCTACAGCGCTAATTATCGTTCTTTTGAAACTCACTAGCAATGATTATCAGTTAAATATGGATGTTCGTCATAAGCTAATCACTCATGTATCATATACAGCGTTAATCGTTCTTTATAATGCATTTACCTCCTTTTTTTTGCCAGAAAATTCAAACCAAATTCTTCTATATACTTTCTTATCGGAAAAGATTAGAAGACAATATCATTTAGAAGTATTATTTGATTAATTGTATAATGTCGATATAAGTTCTTTTTTTGCTCTCATAGGATGAAAAGTCTGTGCCAAAATCTAAGATTTGTTACATTATTATGATGTTCCATAAATTTTCGAAAAGTGCAATGATATTTTGATATCGACAATAATTTAGAAATATTTGAGAATCATTAATAGAATTCTAAATTCTCTTACTTTATAAGCAATACCTTAGCTACTCGGTACATTTGAGTATCCGTGATTTTGCTTTATAAAAAATGAATAACACTGATTTATTGCTTATAAATAATCGCTCTTGTCAAAGTCATTCTATTTATATAACTCAAATTCCCATGAAAAAATAACAGATGTTGTCATGTGATACTTAACTGTTCAGATTTGTTAAATATTGAATGATTTACTTTGAAAAGGTGCTATCTAGGTGACCGGAACAGTGCGTTAAAATAGTTCATGCATTCATTATACATAGTATCGTGAAGACTTTTTTTGTATTAGTGTATGATTGAATTCATAACTGATTAACATTTCTCAGTTGAACGATCATTTTTCAAATTTTGTTCATTGAACGTGATAAACTCAGCTATAACTGATTAAGCATTCGACATTCGTTTTGTTAAGATGAACTATCTCATCAAGTAAATTGCACAATGAAACAATAACATTTTCTCCACTATGATTATATCATTGAATAGAATGAAGTCTCTAGTTTATTCTACGAAAAAATTTTCTTTTGAAAAATTTTTATAATTTTTGGAAGGTCTGCTATAAATTATTCGGCTTCCTATTCGAAAGAAAATTTTAAAAAAAGTTTTTTATGCATTAACATGTATCAGGATCAAAAACGTATTAATAAAGTCATGACAACTTCGAAATACTTCAAGCTCTGTCAGTTTTAGAGAGAACTGAAACATTCAGGTTTGATAACATGAAAACTCAACTCAGTATGGATTGTTCAATAGAAGAGAACAGACTGAATCGATTTATGTTCTTCGTCTTCAAAATTAATTACAGGCAGGAACAATTAGTTGTTAATTACAATTAGTCTATTGTACATGTTTTTTGAATAATCTTAGTTTTTCAAAGGAAAGACTAGGTCGAAGTTTTTTGGGAAGATACAAACGTGTAGAGGATTGAATTCTCTACGAAAGAAAGTGTTTCACTACAAGATAATAACTAGCACTGAAGATGATAAGACCTGATCTTTTAATGTGTAATTTTCAACGTAGGAGCAAAAATGTTTTGTTGTGTAAGTTATTAGAAAAGGTTCATCATTTCTTCTTCCCATCTCATATGCAAAAATGCATTTGAAAAGATTGGGCATTATTCATATTCAGCAAAGCTAGTTATCGTGTGAGATCCTTCATTTCATAGTTTAGTGCTGCTTCAATAAGTGTTTTGCTCTGACTAACTTTTCTGTCGAGATTTCACGATGGCAGTCGTCAACGGAGAAGAAATCTATGCTAACATTGTTCCAGACCATGAAGATTTTATCGCACCCCAAGATTACAGCGGATTTCATTACACTGTCTGTGGTACAATATAGACATGCGAAATCAGAAAAGTGTCAGAAAAGTCATTTTTGAGCTCGAAGAAAAAAAGCTGTGTTTTCATCGTAAATCCATTTTATTAAGATTAACCAATTTTTGGGTTGCTGCTTGCGATCAGATTATATTGAACTCTATTTGTAATCAAAATATCAAGCAAAACAATTAAAGTTGATGTGCTTTTTGTTTGATACCGAAACTTCTTACAACTACTGTATCTATAAAAAATCATATAGAAATCCATTTAAAAAGGATTTATTAAGACTAAAAACAGATGTAGAGTTTATTTACGCACTCTATTATATTCAATTAAACAGATCAATTTCGTGAAAAACTTGAAATTTTATCAGACTACGCAGTAGAACCTTTAAGATGACCTAAAATATAATGGTATGCATGCCCTATACTCAAAATAATTAAATGTGATTACATAAAGCAAGAAACTGCAGTGTCATTATAAGAATTAAGTTGATGCAAGACAAATTAGACAACGATGAGGCGGATAATGTTGCATGATGAGAAATAAAATACAGCATCTACCTATCTTTACTTATTCTAAATTTTTTTCACTTTATTTCACGGTAACTCATTTTTATGCTGTCAACGTCAAGAAATAACGAATTATTTTGAACCTTATTATTTATAACATCAATATCAGATGACTACAGTAGTCAATGTCAGTTCGGAAATAAACAACTTTCATAGCCATCAACATCTAAAATTAATAATCAATATTTGTACTCTATTATGTACAATATTCGCAAGCATTGTTTCAATACTCGTCATCGTTTATATTTGTATATATATTTTACGACAAAAGAATTTTAAAAAGTCAACAAATGTACCTCTACTTCTTACATGTAATACATGCTTAGCGATTATTTGTTCGAGTGCTACACTTACGCTCATGGTATTATCAAATATTGGTGGTGATATCAATATTTACATTCTTAAACGAATAAATTATTGGGCTTGTCATATACGTGGTTATCTACATTTTGTTTTTCTCAATTCAATCTATCTATCTTATGTACTTCAGAGTGGTTTTCGTCTTTTACGTATTGTATTTCATAAATATAAATATTTACGAACAATTTATTCGTTTTCATTTTTTATTCTCGTTCAATGGATTGCATCATTTCTATTTATTTTACCTATTTTGATTGGAGATCATAACTATGCATCTTTTGTTGTCTATTTACCTCAAGAATTTTATTGTAGTGTTCCTATTACTAGTATTCGAGGTACTATATTTATAATACTTAGTGCATATTTCATACCATTATGTTGTATTGGTGTAACTTATTTGTGGATTATAATTCATGTCCAATATAGAAACAGACAAAGTATGTTGATACCTATTTCAGTTCAACGTAAAACTAAACGTGATAATATTATCATAAAACGAATTTGCATAGTTATGATTGTCCTTTCATCATTAGGAATAATACCATGTTCGTTTGTTATTGTATATATTATGACTAATTACTTGCATTGGGCATCCTATCGTGTAAGTTGGATGACAGTTTCTATATCATTTGCATTAATTACTCTATCATCACTTTATGTAACACCTCAAATATATAAATCAATATGTATTATGTTCAATCGTTCTCAAAAAAACCAAAAATATCATCATGTCTTTTCTTCGATAAGTCACAAACATAAAATACAAAAAAAGACTGAGAATTCTGTTTTTCAACAGAATATGACAAGTACGGCCTAACATATTTCACTGCAAAAAAAAATTAGATCCACCATACTTTATCACTGAACATGCATAACATTGGACAAATTTTGGAAATACTATAAATCATACTTACTGCAAGTACATGGCTTAGATTTTGAATCTGCTTCTTTTATTTTCAATTATATCTCATTGAACTGTTTCGTTTCTATCAAAAATACAATCACTTAAAATAACTAAATATTTGATAGGTTTTGATCTACCTAGTTAAATTGTTAAAATCTTTCGAGTGCATACAATAGCATGATCTTACAACTTTTCGTTTATTAATGAAATTTTTAGTTTAAAATGAGAAAATGTATCTATGAGGGACAAAAAAAGTATAGAGCAAAATCGAAATGTCGACTATTTTTTGTCGGATATTTCCCATAGCACGATAAAATATCTTTAACACAATACTAAAAGAACTTTTGAAAAATTCATTCATTATCTTCTCGCAGCTGCTCTATATCAAAAAATTTAAATTAATAGTGACAAATAACTGACAAAATTAATTAATGAAAGAATTGGTGAAAGAAAACAATATGTATATCAGTACATATATTTTCTACAATAGAGCATTGGTAACAAATTCTAAGTATGATAAAGTTTTTCGATTTCATACAACTATATCCGAAATTCTCGATTTCATTAGTTGAGAGAATATTGTATAGTAACGAACAAGCTTAAGAGATATTATTATTTGACCAATCATTATTTTTTATACTAAATCCTGTTCTGTATTCATAGATAACCGTTAAAACTATTTTATTGAATAGTATAACTGCAAAAACAAAAAATAACTCTTCTTGTTTAATCCAAATTGTTTTCTACGATCAAAAACACCTATACTATTAAAAGTCTTTTAATTCGATTATGCATAAGTCTAATATTGCTATAACAAGTATTCATTGAATTTTATAACTTTGATATGACATCTACATACGAGATATTGATGTTGGTCTTATTCCTTACTACTCTAGTGTAAAATTTCTTAAGATCTAAAGTTTTACTAAGCTCGACGGCATAAGACTATTTATATAACGAACAATTAACGAGGAACACTGCTAAGTGTGAAATGACTTCTAAGTTAGGACTATATACACTCTATAGGTTCTAATGATCTATGAATACCCTGAAAAGAGTTCAGTCTAATAGCTTATCACTACTGAAATACTGTATTTTTTATCAAAATACCGTCGTTTCCCTCAGAAACACCAAGAAAATAAAGTTTCGAATGTCGACTTAAAACTTTATACAGAGACAGGCCTTAACGAGAATAACTTAATGTGAAAGTTTCAGAGTTTTCGATTACATCAATTCTTAAATAATAACATTGGAATTTGCCGTTGTATATGAGCAGCAGTAAAATCATACGTTTAGCATAGCCGTATCTTAGAATTGAAGCAATCAAAAGATTTGAAACTTTTATAATAAACTATTCTCAGTAAGATCAGTCTCTTTGCAAAGTTTCACATGGAAATTTGAAACTCAGCGTTCCGGCTGTACCTGAGATGAATCACAGTATTCTGCTAAAAATAAAGCATCACAGTATCTATAAGTTATTAGGCCGAACTTTTTTCAGAATATGCATAGATCATTAGAATCTACACGACGCACATAGGTTCGACTCAGAAGCGACTTGACACTTAGTAACATTCTTTCGTGAGTGATGTGATGAGATTTTTTTCGTGTTTTATTTTAAATCGAAACAAGTAGACAAGCACAAAGTAAATTAACTTACAGCTTGTTCTTTATTCTTCTCTTTTTTTTTTTACAATCATTGATTTGAAAGAATCCACATAGCATCTTCAATAGGCAAACCAATTTGTATAAAATGTAATAAAAAAAAGCTTTTTTCACATGTTCTGAATGTCGAAAAGACTTTTGTGAAGATCATATAAATCACCACCATCAATCATCTCCAGTTAATGAAATAAATGATTTTTTTGAATGATCATCATCAATTACAAGAAATAGGTTTTTGAATATATGACGGAACCTCGTCAACATCCACTTATTCAACAAATTGATAAATGAGAACGACAATCAATAAGTAAAATTCAACAACTAGCTAATGATGATGCTCGAACACAAATTTTAAATGTTATTAGTGATAATATCATAAGTATTAAAAATTCTCTAGAAAAACTCACACAAAAATTAGAACAAGCTCGAATTGATGAAAATTTTCTAAAACAAAGGAGAAGTAAACTTGATAAATTAAAATTTGCAAGCATGATGATGTTGATGATGATGATATTAGATTTATTTCTAAACTTATTGTTAATATTGTTGAATCAAATGATATATTTGAACGATCAGCTGGAAATATTCGAATTGAAGTTAATGGTCAAGTAATAATTCATGATCAATAAAGTGATCATTCAGCTGTACGTGAAAAAGATGAATATTCATATGATTAACATCGATTTCCTTTTAAATTTGAAGAACTTGATTCAGATAAATGGATTTTTTTGGTTTTGTCTCAAAAAATGTGTCTATGAAACCTGTTTTAATTAGTACACCAACAACGTATGGATTTTGCTGGACAAGATGGTATTAGTCTTAATGACTTTTATTAAAATACAAATAATAATGGATATAAGAGTGATATGAAAATGAATGATGTATTGGACTTATTTATTAATTGTGATCATCAAATAATTTGTTTAACAAATGATCGAACACATAGTTCATATGAACTCAATATTGATATTAATAAATGTCCATTGCCATGACAACTTATACTTGGTCTTTGCTGTTCAGCTGGTGATCATATTCGAATTTTACTTTGTACATTTAAAGAATAAAATTTAAATATTGCTTATTTGATTAATCATATATTTATATTTAAAAATCAAACAAATGTTTGAGTATAACTTTGACCAAATCCATATTAGTAAAAGATACTGTATTTTGAAATAACGAATAGTTCAAAAGTTCTAGATTAATTTTGTTTTTGCTATAGTGTGACAATAACTGGTTGTATAGACTTGATAGTTTTATTGTTAGAAAGCTCAAAGTTTCTTCTTCAAAGCTATATAAATTTATATGGATCAAAGTATTTACCAAGGGCTGAAAAGTGCCCTTTGACTTCACGCAAAATCAGTAATGAGACGTGTATTTGATCGATTTGTCTTGAGTTCGATTTCGAAATTTTCAGGACATGTTATATCTGAGTTTATCCAATGTCATGCAATCTTTCTAGTGGTATTGAAATATTTTCAGTTACACAAACTACAATTTCTATAGAAAACGGTTTTATAAAAAAAAATTGATTTTTTCTCTGCAACGCCTAATAAAGTTATTCTCATGTCTAAATGAAAAAGTGTACTTTGTTTTATATGATGTCATGTTCTAGAGGATTCACTAAATTTTAATTAAACATGAGATATGGAGTTTCACAAACTTCGATTGCTGGAAAAACTCGTATTTTTTTTTAAATCGCTTTTTAATCGTGAACACGTTTCACTGCCAAGGTCGTTACAAAAATATCGGTTTCGAAATCAATCTATAAATTAAAGATTCTATTTTTACGTGTTTACAATGTCTTATCATGTTGTTACTAAAACCCGACAAAAGACGGAAAAAAGGCATCAATTTTCTTAGTGGATAGAGGTTTTCTTCTAAATTTCGGAAGATGCAGAGAAATTTTCCAGCCAAACATATTCTTCATAGTTTTCGACCTTTAGTAAATATTTTCAATCAAATACATTTGCACAGGTATGTAATAGAAACTTCGTTCTTTCTAATAATAAAGCTACCAAGCCTCTGCGCCGCGTTGTTCTCATGGTATACTGGAAAAAAATTGATACAGAAATTTGACATCATCTATTATATGAATTTAATGTCGAACAATATAATCTGTTAAGTTCCTAGTCTTTAGTACATCTTTTTAAATTGATTCATCAATTTCATTAATATTTTTTTAGGTTCTTGCTTAGATGTTTCTTAGTTAAATTCAAATTTTTATGTTTTATTTTTTATGTTTGCAAAATGTTATGATTACATGATGTGACATGTAGCTGATGCACCTATTCTATTAATTAATCGGTATGTATTTCTATCATTTTGGTTCATGATCACATTGATAAATTTTCTTTACATGTTGATCAACGCAGTGATATGTGTTGAATTTCTCTACAACAGAATAATATCCCCCAAGTTCAAAATGGTCAACTCAACATAATTGGACTGATAAGATATTTCTTCAGATCTATGAATTGAATGAAATTAAATCGAAGAATTTTTTGCAGATTTTTATTGGTTGAATTGAATTGAGTTGGGTAGAAGTTCTGTTTTTTTTTTTAGTTGAATAGAATTGACTGCTTTGTTTGGGTTGATTTATTCAGTTCTGTTTTTTTATATGACTGAATAAATAATTTGAGTTTTTTTTTAAATTTTATATTGAAAGAGAGAAAAGTAATTTTCTTTTCATGACTTTTTATTTACATTGGTTCGTTACTATGCAACAAAAATTTCAGCATCATGTTGATTAAACAAGCAAAAAGAAGTAAGAATCAAAAAAGGAACACAGTTTCGATAATGTACATAGAAGTAAAAAAAAGCATGTCGACTAATACATCAAAATTATCGTAGATTTTTTTTCATTGTACTATTGAGTCATTTGAAACGCATGACTAAAATTATTTTGCAAGTATTATTATATTATTGTTTTATAGTTCTAGATCTAACGTTCAAAAGATGTATCGAGGGATTGAACAAAATTATCAACTATTGAAGAGACGATTATCTACGAGACATTTAAAAATGATTCTCACAGTTGTTGTTGCTTTTTTTCTATTTAATGGAACTTTTTATCTATTGACTCAATTTATGTTTTATCCGTTAACCACAACAACTACTACTGAACCCACGACAATTTCAACAACAATAGAAGAAACAACAACCATCGAATCAACTACAGAAAAATCTTATGGTAAGTTGAAATTTTAAGAGATGATTTAATAAAATTCTCTTGAAGAGCTTGGCTGCTTTTTCGATAAAACAAATATTACACTTGCTGATGGTTCTATGCGACCATTAAATTTATTAACTGTCGGTGAAGAAGTTCTTGTTTATTTATCATCTGGAAAAACTCAAAAAAGTCGAGTATTAACAATATTTCATCATCAACGTTCATCGGTTCGTTTCTTGGAAATATATACAGTAAACAAACAAGAACCACTTCGTCTTACACCGTTACATTCAATTCTTATCAAGAAAAATACTAAGAAACAATCTTCTTTTCATTATAGTTTCGCACATAAGGTTGCTATTGGTGATTTTGTTTTTTCATCGGAACTAAAATCTTTACGAGTAATTAATATCAAAGAAATTATACTTTATAATCAAACAATTTCTACTCCATTGACATTTGAAGGAAATATTATAGTAAATAATTTAATAGCATCATGCTATGCTACTTATCGTCATAAATTTATGCATATGCTAACATTACCTCTTCGATATTGGTATCAAATAGAAATGTTTTCTCATTTTAATTATTTTATTGTTCATTTAATTGATTTTTATTCAAAGATAAATTTTTAATAAAATCATCAATTCATATTGAATATTTTTTGTTGCTTGGTAGATAGTTTTGTTTTTTTTGTCAAATTCTAAAGAAATATTGTTTGTGTTTTGCATTGAATCTCACCTATATTAGTCAATTAAAAAAACAACATTTGAATCATTTTATTAAGAAATATAATAAAAGATAATTTTTCATGTGAGAAAAACATATATATTTGAGTTTGATGTTCTGTTATTTGTTATTTCGATACTAATATCAATTGATTTTTTTTTGAATAATAAATATAATTCAAGATTTCACAGGAAAACATATTTATATCAACTCGAATCGCATGAAAGTTTTAAAAAAGTATTTTATATGTAAAGCTAAAATCCCATATGAAGCTTTTACATTGACGCGCAAATATAAAAAAATGTGAATATACTTTTGTATAATTGTCGCATCCAATTAGGATTTTAGTCTAAAATTGCACATAATAGATTCACAAAGAGAATCGTGCTACTCACTATTACATCAATGACAATTAACTTAAAATATGCATGATTTATTTCTATGAATAAATGAAAAGTCATTATTAAATAATTTACAATAAGTTTTTTCTAATTGAACTTTTATTGATTATCAGCTATATTGGAGAAGAATGTCATTGCTATTATGAATGAAAGTTCTTGAACTCAATATAAACTTTTGATAAAGCTTAACATTAAATAGTAAAACGTGAATCGCAATTGATCTTCATCCGAACCGCGGTTTTTTTTCAATTAATTAGTAACTCATACACCAATGATGAATCTGGAATTTTGGATGAGGTAAAGGCACTTAGTCGACGATAAGGATTATAGTAAGCAAAAATTACTTTTTGATGTCATTCGAAATAGTGTAAACTTATTTTTTGTTCGTGTTTGCTAGAGAAAAAATTCTTGAAGAGTAAGCAACTATCCTTTCATCTCTGTTCCCTCAACTGAAGTCTTTCATTATTACATAACTGATTAATACGATTTGATGAAATATACATGCTAACTGATAAATATTTTCGTTCTCAAATGAAATAATTCCATTAGATCATTCAATTTCTACAATAGAAAAGGTCGGTTTAGACAACCTATTTTATTTTAAATCAATTGAGATTAGTGTTCATCAAAAATCAGTGTTTTCTCATAAAATTTAGAATAAATTTGTATTCGATCAATACAATTCGAAGAATTTATTTTATTAGGTACATTAATTATTATTGAGACAAGATTCATAAGAGTGAGTCTCCATTTTCCATTGGCTTTATGTCAGTTCTTAGAACTCGATAAAATGATTATCATAACATGAAGCGCTCTTCACCATAGACTTTCTCTCGGGAGTTACGTCGGTCTTAACTTCAAAAAAATGATGAATAATTTCATTCTCAGCATTGAAAAGTATAACATTAGATCTGCTTTGATTAACTATAGAACATTCATATATTCAATATAAATAGAATTGTAAATCACGCCTATATTTTTGAATATATTCATACCATTCATTCTGTGGATGTAGGAACTCGAACAATTTTATCAAAACTGATTAAAATTCTCTAGGAATACTATTTTAAAGATGTTGTCATTCAACTCTTGACATACATCTCATTTTCAATAGTTTATTTTTCATTTGTTTGTTTTCTTGTGAGTTTATATGAAAAATAACAACATATAACAAAGGTAACTTAATCGAAACATGGTCATCATGAATTTTTCATAAGCATTCTAAATAGATGAATATAGAAGTGGAATAAGATGAATTTTGAACAAATGTCTGATGCCGTACATCTATAGTATCTACGATATCAAGATATTTAAAGTATAGACATGCTTAGAATTTTCGTTTATATTGACTTTGTAATTGTGTATAATTAATTCAAGCACATTCAGTGTTAACATTACCAATGTTGAGAATTAAACTAACTTGAAAAAAATAAAACTTTTGAAATAACAATTCACACTCATTTTTCTGAAGTTGAAACTGATTCAACTCATCGTGTTTTACGAATTGATATAAAGTCAATTGAAATCAGAGAGCTCAATTAAAGATTTTTCATCGAAACTCGAAATTATAGTATTTGCTTTAATCAATTCATGGATAATTACATATTTATAGTCAAATGAAAAATTCTTTTGATATTCTTATTCTTTTCAATAGATACTTTTTATTTCTTTTTCAAGGAATAAAAACGCACAAAACCATGAATAAATTTTTTTTTCGATATCTTTTAAATTTCTCCATCCTTAGTGAATTTTTCCTTTTAGATAACGCAGTTGGTTAAATGATTGTGATCGTTGATAATAATTTGTTGATAGGAATGTTTTCAAACTTTGATATTTTTGTTTTAATAATATTGGTCGAGCTTTTTCACGAAATTTTTCACGTAAAACACTTAATGTTGTTAAAAAATTTCCCAAAAATAATATAAAAAATATTATTGATAATACAAACACTTGCCATTCATTAGTAGTTGGTGCATGTGCTAATCGCCATAATGTGTATGCATTATATAATTCAAATAAGTAACCAACAAGAAGGAATGGAACCAAAAATGATAAACCACCTTTAAAAAAATAAAGTTATGTTCTGAACTACGTCAAATGTTCAAGACGGAGGTCAAAGTTTTGGTCTACAGAATATCCAATCGATTCGAAATTCTTCTCATTGCTTCTCATAAAAAGCATTGTTTCTAGATATACTTGGTGCACTCCATAGTGCTAAGTAATATGAATTTAGATCAGATTTCAGAATTATGTACCTACTTTCAATGAGATTTTGGCTTCTTAGAGAAGTTAATGACAGAAATTTGCATCTGGACTGAAGAAAGCCCTGTATCACTTTCGGTTTGGATCAAAAAATCATCAAAATTTTGGACTGGGTCAAAACTTATGGCATCTATTCAGAAAATTAATGAGAGTGAGGGCGAGAATGACTCTACATATGAAATCATGTCCGATTTCTTGGACATATGAAATAATTGAAACTGTTTATCATATTTTACTTACGAAACATCCAACGATGGAATCCTTCAATAGTTATATCCATATCATGCGTTTCACCTAAAGCTCGAAGTCGATAGAGACAGCCACGTTGGTAATAAAATTGAAGACCCTATGAAAATAAAAAATAATTAGCATTGTGTACTTCAGTAAATCATGCATAAAATCAGTTTTTACTTGAACAAAACTAAGATAAAACGAAAAAATAAAAAATTGTTTACGAAATGTATGATAGGAATCAGATTCGGGCCATGTTAATAAAATAGCTGTAGCTACTGTTGTTATAAAATGATGAGCTCTCCACCAAGCTAAAAACAAACAAGATATTCCTAAATAAATAATAATAATAATAGTTATAATAATTTACGATTAATATTTGATCCATTGACAACTAAAATTGATTCACGTATTGTCAATGTACAATAATACCAAACAAGTAAAAAATGAAATAATGCATCGAATGCACGATAACGGGATGTTAATGACCAAATAACAAGTGAAGATATAAATGAAATACAAGTAATAATGAATTTAAATTTTTCATATTCTTCTTTATATGTCCATTTTTCAGCTTTATTTAAGATTGATACATCGACACCGCCAAGAATTATTTTTAAATATGAATCTTTACTTGGTAATGTATTAGAGATTCTTGATAGATATAATGAATTTGTATTCAATCGATCAGATATGAGATTCAAACGTTCAACATATGATAATGTATCAGCTAACTTATCTAATGTTGGCGATGAATTAACAAATGGTAATTCACGTTGATGAGATAATGATCTAACTGCAAATGCAGCATTTCTATTCATTAAGAGATTCGCAGTAAATTGAGAATTCTTTGAATTTATCAGATTGGAATTTAAAGTGGTTTTCTTTGTTTCACCATCTAAATATATAACGACATTATTTTAAACTTTCGATGTTTTTAAAAAGTTAAACATCAGTGACATATCATCTTTTCTAATGTGATTAATCGTGAATAAATTCAATAAATGGAGATAGTTTTGCGAACAATAAACAATCGATTTTATAAGCCTATTTAGGTTTTGAAATTTTATAAATCATAAAATCTGTTACGTTTATAAATACATCTTTGAAAAAAACTGATTCACAGCTTTGCTCTTTATGTTTTCTATCCTATGATACATTTTTCGAAAAAAGATTTCGGATAACTGATTGATATTTAAAAATATAACTTGTCAGTAGCTTTCAATTGTTGTATCTATACATAGAGCAATTAAGATTAAGCTTTTCCCTAGATTCACTTCGTCAAAGTTTAATTCAAACTATGATATCATGAAAACAGTGATAGAAGAAATAATTTTAGTCTAGAGATTTATTAGTTGACATAAATAAATTTATTGTTTGCTTCTAACAAAAGGACAATATTCTGTTAGATTTTATGTTTCTTTCTGTAAACGAAAACACAATAATACTATTATCATATTTATTCAAACAGTATGAAAAATGTCACCGTAGGTATAGAGTTTAGAGACTTTTAGGAATATGTATAAAACAGGGAATTCCATAATCAAAAACGTTTGCGATATTTAAGGGCATTCCAATAATGAATATACTAATAAAAAGCATTTTCGGAAAAACAAATCTATTATTCATCTTAAATACTTCATAAGCGGGTATTGCTATCTAAAAATATTAGAATAAATGTATTTGGACATACTACAAAAATTTTATGAATTTTGAGAAATGCTAAAAATCAACTGTTTCGTTGCTTTTTATTGATCATCTACTTTAAGGTTGAATCAATCATTTTTACGTTAAACATATTTTTATGCTTATTCTTTCATGAACTAAAGTTAACTGTCTTGAAAATATTTTATTACCAAACAAAATCAAAATAAGTTCATCTTTGATGTCTGACTATATATATAATAGCGGACAAAAGTTTAGAGCAAGTGTATTTTCAACTATTCTTGTCGATAGTGATAGCAAACTGCTCGGATGAAAGTCTGCAGAAAACCAAGATTCTCAAAGCCAAC